TCCCCTGGAGGGCTCGGGCGACTCGCAGCAGGACACCGAGGCCACGAGCCTCCCGTCGCGAGCGGAGATGCGCAGGTCCAGGTTCGCCTCTCGGTGGCATGCCGCGCGCGAGAGTGACCCTGGGCCATGTTTCCCCCGGTGTGGGATCATCGGGCTCCAGATCTGCGTGCCCTCCGTTTGGGGGACCGCTTTCGATATCGACGCGTTTCCGTGCTTAGAACCGTGCTTCCCCATTTGGGAATTCTCGTTCGCGCCGGTTTCGATGTGGCTCTTTTTGTACTGCCGTGTGTTCTCTGTTCTGGGCGGCCGTTCCAGTTCCGCTTTGGTTCGCCAAAAACCCAAAGTTGAAGACGGAGGAAGACATGAAGCCCGCAGCGTCTTTAACACAAACGAAGCCCTAGGCAAGAGTGGCCCGTGGTGAGCGGTTTGCCGCCCGCAGCGTGCGATGCGACAGCAGCGGCTTGCGTGCGGCGGGCTCGTGCCATGACGGCCGCTGCGCTGGTCTCTGCCACAGCGTGGATCGCTCTCAACTTGGACGGTCGGCGGCCTCTCGACGCTGGACGATCGCCAGTTCTCGACCTTGGACGATCGCTAGTTCTCAACCGTGGACGATCGACTCTGGACGATCCACATTGGATCGCTCTCAACCTCTCGGGGGGTGCCAAAGGGTGCCCCTGGCCCAAGGTGCTCCCAGCTTTTCGCCCGATTTGTTAAAAACCCTGGGGTTCCCTCCTTGCCCCGTGAGGGGTGCTCTGGACGCCTTTGAGGCCTCCTTCGGAATCATGGGGGCCTCCTTGGGCCAGGGGCACTTCTAGCAACACCCACATTGTGAGAGATTTGAACATTCGTTTCGAGAATCGGTGTTTCTCGCCCTTGCAGTGGGTTATGTCGCGTCTGCCAGTGAAATTCTCAGGTCCGTAGCTGAAATATTTCTATCAAAGCACTTTGCGGAACCTTCTTTGCATGAAACTTAAAAACGTAGTTTTTCGAGTCTTCAGCTAATGTGTGAGAAGCTTCCTCCAGGTGTTCCGAACAGCGCCGTGCGAGGAACGAGCCCTACGAGGCTCCCGGGGGTAACCTGGTTGACGGTTTACCGCCGGCTCCCAGTACCTCGTAGAGCTCTTCGGCATCGATGAGCTAGAGGAATTCCGGCGCGAGCTGGAGCTAGCTGGCCGACGCGGCCCGGGCGGACAAAGTGATGACTTTGGGTCGGGTTTGCTAAGATTCGAAAGATATTTGACCATTTATTTTGAGAAACCAGATTTTTGCGCTAAGCATATGCATATCAGCTTTGTTCTCAGAGCAGCTCAGCTCTGCTGGTGCATTTTATTATGAGTTGACTTCCAGGAACCAAGCTAATATGAGTATCGGAAAAATCGAAAAATCAAGATGTTAAGCAAATCTTTATTTTATTACTCTACTTCGATTCTGAGCACTATTACCCGTGCGAGGAGCTCTACGAGGTTCCCGGCGGTGACCACATTGACGGTTCACCGCCGGCGCCAGTTGTGGAAGATGGATGTGAACATAAACTATTTGTTCTGTCCAATTATTTGGACATACCTCGTAGAGCTCTTCGTCATCGATGAGCTAGAGGAATTCCGGCGCGGAGCGGAGCTAGTTGGCCGACCCGGCGAGAACGGACAATGTGATAACTTTGGGTGGGTGTTGCTAAAGATATTTGACCATTTATTTTGAGAAAACAGATTTTTCGCACCTGTGAACAATTATGAGGGCATCTGCGTCTTAATATGAGCTCTGCGGGCGCACGTTTACTATGAAAACACTTGGCGGAACCAATTTCATGTCGACATGAAAAAATAAACTTTGATCTTTTCGAGAAATGCTTCCAGACGCTCTCTCTTTCGATTCTGAGCACTCTTACGCGTGCAAGGAGCTCTACGAGGTTCCCGGCGGTGACCAGGTTGACGGTTCACCGCCGGCGCCAGTTATATATGACAAGGAAGCTCTACGAGTCTCCCGGCGGCAAGAAAGGTTGACTTTACTATCCAAACATTTGGAGCAACCGACATCCTGTTGAGACCTAAAAATGATTTGTTTTCGATCTTTTTTCTAGAAATGCTCCGAGAAGCTCTCCTGTTGTGGAAGATTTGAAAATTCATTATAAGAACCGGTATGTTTCGCACCTGTAGTGAGTTATGCCGCGCTTCTCAGTCAAATTCTCAGTCTCTAGCTGCAGTATTACTGTCAAAACACTTGAAGGAACCGTCTTTTGGTGAAAACTGAAAAACGTAATGTTTCAAGTTTTTTAGTTCATGCGTGAGAAAGCTTCCCCCATGTATTCCGAGCAGCACCGTGCAGACAAGAGCTCTACGAGGCTTCTGGCGGTAACCTGGTTGACGATTTACCGCCGGCTCCCAGTAGACCAAGTTGATTCCCAGATAACAGCAGAAAACGTTTGTCAATGTATGCGTGAAAAATAGGAATTGTTGTTTCGGGTTGCAGACAAAGTTAGTTCCTCGTAGTCTTTTGATCGAAGTAATGCAGCTAGAGCTCTGAGAATTAGACCATCGAACGCGCCATGATCAACTGCAGGGAATAAAATTCGAATTTCGGAGACGAATTTAAAAATCTCTCGCAGTCTTCGAAAAACCAACTCCAGGTCATCACGTTGACCGCCGAGGCCGTGTTGGACCGCCACTTCGTTCCACATTGGCCGCTCCCGGGCCACCCGCGGTGCTCCACCCGGACCGACCGCGGGGCGGCGTCGCCGCCGCGCCGGCACGGCACGACCACCCGCCGTGCTCGCGGGCGCGTGGCCCCCCCCCCGCGCGCGCCCACCGAGGGCCGCGCCGGCGAGGCCGCTCCGGCGAAGGGTCCCTCCCTCCCTCCCTCCCTCCCTCCTCCTCCCCCCTCCCTCGTCCTCCTCCTCCTCCTCCTCCTCCTCCTCCTCCCCTCCACCTCCTCATCCTCCTCCTCATCCTCCTCCTCCTCCTCCTCCTCCTCCTCCTCCTCCTCCTCCCTCCTCCTCCTCCTCCTTCTCCTTCTCCTCCCTCCTCCTCCTCCTCCTCTCCTCCTCCTCCTCCTCCTCCTCCTCCTCCTCCTTCTCCTTCTCCTTCCTCCTCCTCCTCCTCCTCCTCCTCCTCCTCCTCCTCCTCCTCCTCCTCCTCCTCCTCCTCCTCCTCCTCCTCCTCCTCCTCCCTCCTCCTCCTCCTCCTCCTCCTCCTCCTCCTCCTCCTCCTCCTCCTCCTCCTCCTCCTCCTCCTCCTCCTCCTCCTCCTCCTCCTCCTCCTCCTCCTCCTCGCGCCCCGCGCGGACGGCCGCGCGCACGCCGGGGGGGGGCGCCCCCCCGGGGCAGCAGGAGCGGCCTCTCCGGTGCCCGGCCCGCCCGCCGAGGCCGCAGCCGAAACGGGGGCGGGGATCCGACCTCCCAGAGATACGACGCTCCAACAAAAGTTGAAGCGGGCGGTTTGGGGGCCGTTTTCGACCTCTGGAGGCCCTCGCCGGGCCTCGGGAGCGCCAAAAAACAAATCAGGAGGAAACACCGGCCCTAAGGAAGTGGTCTGGACCTCTGGGGCCCACGCATCGACAAAATTGTAGCAGCCAGATGTCTGGGCTGGCACAGGGGCGTTTCACCTCGAACTCAGCAAGGTTTCCTTGCATGGCGTTTCGCCCCCCCACCCCAGCCCCACCCCACGCCACCCCCACACCTCCCCCTGTCCCACCCCCCTCCGCCGCCTTCTCGAGCAGTACCGGGCCGAGAAGGCGTGCAAGCGAGTCCCGACCTGGCGTGAAGTCCAGAGCTCTCTTCGGGACTCGGCACGCCTCCGCCCCCCCCTTCCCCTCTCCATTCGGCGGCGAGCCCGGGGGGGAAGTGAGAAGGAGCGGGCCTCCTCAGAAGGCTCGGAAGTCCCTGGGCCGTCTGAGAAGTCTCCTGAGCCTCACCCGAAGACGCAGAATACTTCTCAGAAGGCGCGAGGGCTTCTGAGAGGACCCGCCGCCTTCGGAGAAGGCCTTCTCTCACTTCCCCCCCCCTTTGCTCGCCGCCGACGGGTGGCCACGTTCACGCTCTCCGGTCTGGCCCCCATCACGCGGCCGCCGCCGCCCGCATCGAGAGCGGCCGGCCCCTCCACCCGCCCTCCCCCGAGCTTTTTGGAAAAGAGCCGAGGGCAGGCGGGAGGGGTCGTCCGACCGCCGCCTGTTGTCACAGCCACGAGGAGATCTCGTCCACTGGACAGCTTTCCAATGTATATGTGTATACACATACATACATACATACATACAGACAGACAGACAGACAGACAGACAGACAGACAGACAGACAGACAGACAGACAGACAGACAGAGAGAGAGAGAGAGACAGACAGACAGACAGACAGACAGACAGACAGACAGACAGACAGACAGACAGACAGACAGACAGACAGACAGACAGACAGACAGACAGACACAGACAGACAGACAGACAGAGACAGACAGAGAGACAGACAGACAGACAGACAGACAGACAGACAGACAGACAGACAGACAGACAGACAGACAGACAGACATACACATACATACAAATACATACACATACATACATACACATACATACATACATACATACATACATACATACATGCATGCATGCATACATACATACATGCATACATACATACATACATGCACACAAACATACACACGTACGTACGTACGTGCATGCATGCAGGCATACCTACCGACCGACCGACCTACCTATATACATTCATTCATACATACATACGTGCAGACAGACAGACAGACAGACAGACAGACAGACAGACAGACAGACAGACAGGCAGACAGACTGACAGACAGACAAACATACACATACATATATATGTGCATGTACGTGCAACCACACATAGATTCCACACCTCATATACAGCCATACCTGTATACACCCATGCATACATAAAGCATACATGCATACATACATACATACGTGCATGCATGGATGCATATATACATACATGCATGTACATACATACATGCATGCATGTATACATATATATATATGCATTAGTACATGCGTACATGCATCCATGCAAACAAACATACATGCATACATATATATATATATACAACACTGCACTGGCGCTTCGCGCCATGAACCTTGGTCCGATAAGTGGACGGTGCAGGCAGACTGAGAGAGGTAAGCCGATCAAGACAGAAATCGTTTCTGGTGGCCGATGTCAGCATCGCTGTGGTTACACTATTATTATTGGTCCTTTCCTTGTTTTTGTCTTCGTCCATATCCTCTGCCTCATTCTCGATTGCATTGGCCAACGAAGGCTTCTTCGTCCTCTTCTGATTCGTTCGCGGAAGCTCCTTCGTGGTGAATATCTGGAGAGCTTCGCCGAAGCATTCTTAGGGCTTCTTGGGAGCCTCTGGAGGCGGCCGTGGCACCTTTCGGCGACTAGTGGGGAGGTCCTCGAGCCACCATACCCGGACTCGTGGCTCCAGATCACGTGTTGCATTCTTGGAGAGGTTGTCTCGAAGACAAGTTGGGGCCGTGGTGAGGCCGCCCGTGGGCAGGTCGGGGGCCGTCTTGGGCACTCGTGGGGCCCTCTTGTTTCGAGCGCCTCCTCCAGGCGACTTTCGGGCCATGTTCGGACGTCCAGCGGAGGTCCGCTTGATGCCATCTTCGATCGTGTTGGGTCTCTTGGACCCTGTGCCGGTGGTGTGCAGTCATTTTGGGCCAGTCATGGTGCCCCCTGTGGGCAGTTTGGGGGCCGTCTTGGGCCCCCATGTGACCGTGGTGGGGTGACAGGAAGCGGATTTGGCCCGTCTTGGAGCACTTTCCAGTACCTTTCCAGCGTTCTCGGACGCTTGGAGGCCCGAGTGAGCGAGTATCCGAAACTCATACGGAAAAAATGAAACATCAATGGTTTTCCAAGTTTCGAGCGCCTCTTCCAGGTGACATTCGGGCCGTGTTCGGGCGTCTAGTGGGGGTCTGGGCCGCTTGATGCCATCTTCGATCGTTTTGGGAGTCTCTTGGGCCTTGTGCCGGTTGTTTTGCAATCATGTTGGGCCAATCATGGGGCCGCCTGTGGGAAATTCGGCGGCCGTCTTGGGCCCTCATGTGACCGTGTTGGGGTGTCTGGAGGCCCGCTTTCGCTGTCTCGAAGCGGACTTCAATGGTTCTCCAGCGTTCTCGGACGCTTGGAAGCCCGAGTGAGCGAGTATCCGAAAATCAAACGAAAAACCATGCAAAATCAACATATTTTAAAGTCGAGCGCCTCGTGGGGGTGACATGCGAGCCGTCTTCGGGCGTCTGCCGGGGGTCAAGGGCAACGTGAAACCATCTTCGACCGCCTTGGGCGTCACATGGGCCTTGCGCCGACCGTCTTGGGACTGCCACCCGCCTGTGTGCACGCCTTGGCAGGGGTTGCTAGATCGCCCCCCGCTGTCAGGGAGGGCGTCTAGCCAGCCCGAAAAGTCGCAAATTCGCTCGGGGGGGTGTGGGGGCGGGAGGGGGGGCCTTTTCCGGGGTCCCCGGCCGTATAAGAATATATGAAAAGGAATATATGTGCACACGCGATTGCCACCAGGATCTTGGGTGGAATACCAGTACTGTGGGCCAACTCCACTGTGAGAAGACCTCGTGCCAAGAAGCTAGACTGCGTCGATATGTTCCTTGAGAGAGGGCGCTAGACAGGCGCTAAGAGATTCCCTAGCCCGCCTGTGAAATACAAAGAACCCAGGGCCTGAAATGTGCCCATGATAGATAGACATAGCAACTGTATTATGAACATTGCCCATTTCAGAAACGTCGCCGTGGATTCCTAGATTGGAGCCGATGGCATGTATAATCGATTGTCCTGACAGCGCCCATAGTGCCAGATATGGCATGCATGCTGTCGTGTGAATATCCTGGTGGCGACATGGGATGATCACCAGTGGCATACTGGTTCGAGGACAATGGAATCAAGAGTAAGGAGACCATAACATTACTGCTCACGCACGCGGTGTACGCGTAAAGACGTGGGCGTTGAAAATGCAAGCGTGCACGTTACCCCCTGTGCGCATGAGGTAGTATTCACCACTATCCAAATGCACACGATGGTGGACGAGGGCCGTGTATAGGAGCGGTGTCAGGCGGACGGTGGCAAGGATGGACGTATGCTAACAGAGAGAGAGAGAGAGAGAAAAAAAAAAAAAAAAAAAAAAAAAAAAAAAAAAAAAAAAAAAAAAAAAAAAAAAAAAAAAAAAAAAACGCAATCGCAACTCGCTGGGATTACCCTCCAAGGAAGATCTTGCATATCGCCCAGAATTTCTGATTTCGAGCCCTGGCAAACAGATATCAGGATCCAGCAAGAGACGAAAACACAAAGCAAGAGCCAAGCACACTAAGGGAATAATGCGATGCACATCGAGATTCAACCTCAGCAAAATTAAGTGTGAGATGTAGTGCCACGACAAGCCTTCGTGGGGGCATCGGCGGCTTCCCCGCGATCCCGTGACTGGTGTTGGCGACGACGTCTCTGGAAGTCACGACCGCTTCCCCAGGGCCGCCGCTTCCTCCCCAGCTACTGCTCTGGAGGAAAGAGAGCTGTGCACATGCACCGACTCCGGCCAGGCCCACCCTGAGCCCAGGATCGGTGTACACGCCATCCTGCCCTGGCCAGGAGGGCACATGCACCGATCCTTAAAACAGGGCTGGGATCGGGATAAATCGCTCCAGAGCGTTCCGGAGCGCTCTCAGAGCGTTCCGGAACGCTCTGGAGCGGCCGCGGCGCCCAATACATCCTCCGAGCCCGCCGATGCTCAGAGATTTTGAGTTATCCCGATCCGATTTTGTCCCGATCCTCGCGTCGTTTTCATCCTGCCCTGGCCAGGAGGGCACATGCACCGATCCTGGGCCCAGGATGGGCCAGGCCAAGAGCGGTGCACGTGCACGGCTCTCTTCGCCCAGCGCTCCACGGCCCCCCGGGGCCGGGCGGGGGTCCCCCCCAGGAGGCCGGGAGCGGCGAGAGCGTGGGGCGCCGAGCTGCCCGGTGCGCCGGAGGTCCAGGCCGCAGGTTCCCACGGGGGGGCCACATGCGAACCCTACCCCTGCCCTCCACGACTTCTGAGGGGGAGGGTGGGGTTCACTTCGCTCGGGAGCTCCCGAGCCAAGCGAGCCCCACCCTCCCCCTCAGAAGTCGTGGGGGGCAGGGGTAGGGTTCGCATCTGGACCCCTACAGCTTCCCACGGGGGGGCCGAGAGGCTGCGCCCCTCCAGCAGTGCCTACGGCTGGTCAGGCTGGCCGGGAGGGAGGAGGAGGGAGGAGGAGGAGGAGGAGGAGGAGGAGGAGGAGGAGGAGGAGGACGAGTAGGAGAGGGAGGTGGAGGAGGAGGCCCCCCCCTGCGGCGGCAGCGAAGGGCCTCGTTACCCTCGATGGTGAGCAGCGGCTGCTGCTCGGCCTCTTCGTGCTTATCTCGAGTCTCGCTTTCTGTTTCTTCTCTCCCTCTCTCTTTCCCCCAGTTGTCTTGCTCCCTCTCTCTCTCTCTCTTTCTCGCTCTCCCTCTCTCTCGCGCGCGCCGCAGCGCCCCTCCATCCACCTCCGATTGCCTCCTCCGTCATTCCTCCTCCTCCTCCTCCGCCTCCTCCTCCTCCTCCTCCGTCACTCCTCCTCCTCCTCCTCCCACCGTCCTCCATCCCCCTCATCATCCGACTCCCTCTTCATTTTACCCTCCTGCGCCCTCTACAGCCCTCAAACGCAATCGCAGTCGTAACAATGAGTCAAGACGAGCAGAACACGCCAGCATGCACACGGCTCAAATCGGACCCGAGAGGGAGAGGGAGAGAGGCAGAGAGAGAGAGAGGGTGAGAACATGAGAGGCCTGGATTGCATGTATGATTTGCCGGGCCAGGACCGGCTGCAAGACACTTGTTCGCGTTGCGGAGGGGGGGCCCGGGTGCTCCGGCTCCTCCGCCTCCCCAGTCGGCACGAACAAATCCCCTCCAGAGACGGAGCTTGCCGCGACCCTTCACCGGGGCGAATCTGCACTCGGCAGGGCGGCACCTTTGGGCTTCGCAGCTCCGCATAACGGATGGGGATGCAGATGATACCCCCAACAGCTTTGGACCCCGATGACCCCACTGTCCGCTTACAAATGTGAGAGGCCAGAACACGTAAAAACTCGCATGTTGCGGTTAAGGGCTTCATGCCTGGGATCAGTTCAGTTCAGCCAGGCATTCCAAGGAAAGCACATCGCTACGAGAATTCATATGCTGCCGTGCCGTGCTTCGTGCCCATACTCGCCCGTACTCCCCCTCCGACCCCAATATGCGTCCTCCTCCACCTTCCAGGGGGCCATGGTTGGGCAGAAGGGAGGGTACGAAAAAAGGAGAAGGGTAAGCGTGGCCGCATTGCCTCACATGGCCTCGCGTGGTGTCTGCCTTCACCATTCTGCACGGTATTCTGCCAACGCTGGGGACCAATAGCTGGGCGAGCAGGCCCGGGGCCGTTACGGCAATGGCTGCCGCATGTGCTTCCCTCACCGTCCCTCTGCACTTTAGTTCCCCACCTCCCACCCTCAGAAGTTGCTGACAAGAAGCAGCAAAAGCGGTGAGAGATAGGGATGGGCAAGAGAAAATGGGAAGGAGTTGAGTGGAGGAAAGGAGGAGGGCTACATGAGGCACTTACCCCTAGACGACTGACCGAGAACTGGTCAGCAGCTGGGTGATCGAAGCGGCCCCGAAGGGGGCGGTCATTACATCTCCCCCCACTAGGCCTCCAATGGATCTTTGATTTTCTGGGGCCTCGTACACAAGGCTTGCCGACTTCATACTCTGTGGCCGCTGGGAAGCATACTCTGGCTTAAGAGGGCCAGCGCCGTTAACAACAGTCGTGACAGCAACGTCAAGAGCACCACTGGAATCAACTAAATGCTATCTTACACCGCGCTTTACCTCCCTGCCCGTCACCCCCACTCCATCCAGGTGAAGAACCGCGAGGGCAAGAGCTCCGCCGCCGCCGCAAGCGGCCGCGCTGCTGTCCCTTCGCACCGCTCCCAACCGCCCCCCCGCC